GAAGATCATCTTCTAATTGCACACTGTACGATTTCTTTGTAGATAGTAAGTATTTTCAGACAGTTGCACTGGTCTCATGCAAGATGAAAATTTTGTAGGAAATACTTTGGAAAATGGACAAAAATAGTTGTTTAAGAATGAAAGGCAGATAGTCAGCTGTGCAAGGAACGCCCTTTATTTGCAGTGATAATGACATCACCATCATGAGCCCCTCTTTGAGGTTCAAACCGTGTATCTCAGAATGAGAGGAAATGGCAGTATCCCTGGAAATGCCCCATCAAGCCTTAGTACAATAAGCTGCTTGACGTGCAAGGACTATGTCTATAAAGTTGCAGACACTTTGTTTCCGTAATCATAAATAGTTTAAACTGCTGTGAAGTGCTAACACAGTCCAGCCATAATTTGAGAAAGCTACTTTAAATTAATAGCCCAGGAAGTCTTTAGTATTTTTTCCTCTATAAAAAAAGCATCTGTAGTAGGAACTTGGTACTTAAATATACTTAGATCTGGTTAAATATAATAGATTAAATATACTTAATTTCTTGAGACTTAATTGCATGTTTAATTTCAATGAAAGCTGAAACAAGCGAAGCATGTACTTTGTGGTGTTGAACAGGGCTGGGGTTAAGCGTGTGATTCAGTACTCTTCAATCAGAAACTTCTTGGTTTAATGTTTCACAGGTAGGTAATAAATAAGAATTGTGATCTTCTTCTGGTATGAGAAAATGAAAAATATGGCCTATTTTAGTTTTTTTGTAAGTGTGGGGCTCTGTTTTTGCAATCTGGTAGCCAAAGTGCAATACAGTAGACTTGATGTAGTATTTTTTGGAGGAAGATATTAATAAAAAGTTCAGTCTGTGAAAAAAAATATAAATACAGCTTTTCTCCAGGAAAGAGTTGTATTTGGGTGTTATTAATAATGACCCACCTATCTCATTGGGTTATATGTATTGTTTATTTTATCAGGCTTCTCTGGCAATTGTGTTGGCTGTGGCAAGAAGGGTTTCTGCTACTTTACAGAATTCTCAAATCACATTAATCTTAAACTGACCACTCAGCCCAAGAAACAGAAACACTTAAAGTATTATCTGGTCAGGAATGCACAGGGAGCTCTGACCAAAGGATCTGTAATCTGCTGGAAAGGGGCAGGTAAGATAACGAAGCTGTCTTCCTCAAGCTCTGGTTTTCATCATCCAAGCTTAGCTATCACAGGGACTGGCGTCTGTGTAAACCTAAGACAGATCGGTTGAAAGAAAGACTCTTTAAAGCTGGGTGATTACTAAAGCAGCTGTAAAAAGCAATTGACTGACCCTAATATGAGGATGGCATGGCTGAAGACATTGGTTCCTCCCTTCCAAGTGCCATAGCCTCTAAGTAATTCATGTGTGAAATTATCAAATCAAATACGCAGAGCAAAAGCAAAATGCCGCTGTGGTCAGGGGATAAGAAGTTTCTTTTTTTGTTAAGAGTTCAGAAGCCGGCAATCTTCATCCAGCACCTGCTCAAGCACATTGTTCCAACTGCCAGAAAGTTCGGGCCTCTCGGGAAGTACCTCAAGTGAGCCGCTCCCAGCAGCAAACCCAAGTGCTCCAGCTGGGACTCAGCAAACAGGTACCGCTTGGAAGGAAAACACGCTGGGTTACTGCCTACTCTTACTCTTCTTGCATGTGTATTTGTGTGTACTTGTGTGAATGGAAAGACAAACAAATAAGCACACTACCATGCAAAATAAGTTGAATAGATTTATATTACAAATAAAGAAAGGAATCATACTTTGAAGGCTTCTCACTGTCCATTTTTTCCCCTCAGGTTTGTGTATAAAAGGTTAGCTAATAATAAAATAGGTGTTCTGCAGCTTATAGCTCATAGCTAAGGCAAACGAAAATTTTTTAAAAGCCATTATTTTTAAAGTTGTTAAGAATAGGTATTACATTCCTCCAGCTGTTGCTTGTCTGGTCACAGATGACAAATGTTACAGGAACCAGTGTCATTTCAGCTTTTTCTTCTGATCCAGTCTATTTTATGTTATGACGAGAATCCTCTTTACTGCAGGCATTATATGGGCATCAGCTTAAAAGCTTCTGAGTTTTTCCTTCTGCTGAGAAATTAAATATTAACATTTAATATTAACTTAATATTAAATATTAATTTA